ACCTGCTAAATTAAAAAATAGAACCTATTATTTGATTCAAAATCGATGAATGCAGAAGACTTAATATTGAGACAACTATGCCAGACTTTAAAAGATATGCACTGTATGTCCCTACTCAATATATACCAAATATCTGTACTCCATGGCAGAAATGGAAAGGTCCAGATATATGATAGTAGAGAGGTACAGGTGGGTGCTAGAGACTATTAGGAAGGGAAGTGGATAGTAGATAATGAATGGCAGAGGCTGGTTATGAGGTGCAAAGAGAAGAAACACTTAACAGACAAAGCATGTAGCATTCTCTGTTGAAAAAAATATTAACGTGGATATTGTGCAAGAAAAGAAAAATACACAGTTATTCTCATATCCCCAGATCTACACAATACATTTAATGGAACTGGGGATTTTTCCTTCAATAAAAGATTTTAGACTATGGAGGTTATTTTAGTGATTTAAGAGCTACAATTGAAAATCAGTCCATGGCACTGATTTTGGTTTGATATTAATTTTTTCCTCTCATTGACAGAATTAGGTTAAAGTAGACACACTGCAGAGAGAATGTTTCCATGATTAATCTTTATAATGCTGAATTTCAAGAAGATTAACATAAACCACAAAATTCTCTGTAATTTACATGAATATAATTAAAAAGCATTTTTAATACAAGTAATCTCCATATCAGAATACATCATGGTACGAAAATACATCTGGGTGCCAGAGAGTGGCAAAGCAGTAGAGAGCACAGTGCTCTGTGAGGCAGACCCACACGGAAGGGTGCAAGGCTGTGTTTGGAGACCAACCTGAGAATACCGGGCATGTACATGCCTATAGTCTGGGCTACCTGACTTGGGGTGGATCCCTGTGTCAAGACTCTGTTGGAGGTGTTGTTACTCTTGCTCTAAGGAAAATAAATAAATATAAAATAAAGTTTAAGAAAAATAAAAAAAGAAATAAATCTGGAGAATTTTGGATTTGAAAAGATTAATATTTTGAAAACAAGGTTTAAATTTATTGAGTTCCTTGAGACATTGGGAAATAGATATATTTTAAATTAACTTTATTCAAAAGAAAATCCTACTTTAATTATACCAGAAATTCTTGACAGACCTGCCAGATACAAAAGGGATTTTCTGCTACTAAATCTACAAAAATCTCTTAAAGGAATTCTTTGAGTCTATTTAAAGTATATCAGAACATTGATATAAAAATCCTGGTTCATTTCAAAACACTATTTGGGTCATATTCTTCTACCGAGAATAGTCTAGAAATCAGTGCGGCAGAGCCTGTGCATTCACAAAGTACTAGGGATTAGAACCCTTCACCTATAGGATCTACCTTTTGGAAAACTGAAACTAGTGACATATGTGTTACTAATTGCCTAATATAAAGAAAATAATGATAACTAGGATAAAAAGAAAAAGGTTCGGGTCTTAATCACTATATTTTCACAAATTATTATGAAACAGAATAAAATAAAATTTATGTTTTTAGGTTAATAAAGAAATTACTTCTTGGGACTAGTAGGTGGTGTGGTGGTCTGAGTCCCAGACCTGGCAGCTTGCTTTCTCACTCTCCCCTTCTCTCTCATCAATTTTTTAAAGAAAAATAATTAATAATAAAAAATAAATAATCATTTTTAGAAATTACTTCTTTAAGAAGTTTTTTTTTTTCTTTGTTCATGATAAATCACATGCATACACATGTGAAAGAGAGCCAGAGAGAAGCACCCTATACAGGATCTGGTCATACCATAATCCTCTTCTTCCAGTCTGGCAGCTTGTCAGATCATAGGCACTTGTGCATGTGCAGGGCATGTTTCAGGCTAAAAAAAGTCATGGACTCCAACTGCTATTACCACTTGAGATCCAGTTTTTCCTAAGTAGAGCATTACAGCTGTGCCTCAGAGCTGGCCCGAAAAAGAAATTATTTCTATCTCTGCAAATGTCACCTTTGATATATCATTTTCTGTTCACCTGATTGTCTGATGGGAAAAATAGCCTCCTTCCTCTTTACTTCTTAAGATTGCTGTGATAATAAAATATACTAATGGATGTAAAAATAATTTGCAAGATTAGACATCCTAAAAATTTAAAGCATACTAATTTTATTACACACTTAGCAATACAGAGCAATTGTCCATGAATAAAAATAGTAGTAAGGGGACCAGCAGATGGCATAATGGTTATATCACTGGACTCCCACTCGGTTTGAGTTTCAGACCCAGCAGCTTAAAACTCACGCCAGGCATGTGTGCATACATAACCTTTTGCGTACGTGCACAAAATCCCGAGGGAATGGAGAAGGGATTGCCGTTTGGTCATCCCCCCGGGGGGTGATTTCTTGCTTTCTGACTCTGTCTCTCTCCAGTGAGCACACATGCCCTATAGCAAAAATCTCTCAAAAGAAAGAAGAAGATAGTAGTAAGTAAAATATAAGAAAATAAGTACAAGCTATAGGGAGAAAATGAGATCTTATTGAGGACAGTAATAAATAAAATACATCAAATTTAAATTATCAGTGAGAGGAAATCTCTTCCTATTAAAAGCTTAAGAAAAGATAATAATGATTAATGTAAATAAATATCTGTAATCCTATTTTTCCATATGATGTTAGCTTTAAACTACTGACATATTCTGAATAGCATTTTACAGGCTGTTCTACAATAAAAATGGGACATTTCAAATTGGGCCACTTTGTAGTCAGAAAAATACAGACTAGGGACAAGACCAGAAAGAAAACTAAAAAGCGGTTTGGGGTCTTGAGACTTAAAATTAACTACTTTCAAAAATATATATAAATTAAATTAAATTAAAAAAAATTAACTTTCAGATCCAGCAGTTAGCGTAATAGCTATGTCACTGAACTCCCATGTAGTCGACCGCTGTTTGAGTCCTGGACCCGGTGGCTTAAAACTCACGCTGGGCGTGTGTGTGTGCGTGCCGAAGATCCCGAGAGGAGAATGGAGAAGGGATTGCAGCATGGTCATCCCCCCTGGGGGAGTGATTTTTCACTTTCTATCTCTCTGTCTCACTATCTGGCAAGCACACACACCCTACAACAAAAACCTCTCAAAAAAAAAAATTAACTACTTTCATTGTAATGGTAGACTTACAGAATGCAATGGTTCGAAGAGGTTAGATTTAACACTGCTAACCTTCATGTATTCTACAGAATGTGCTTGGGGAAAGTAAGGGAAGGATTAGGAAAAGGAAGCATAGTTTTAGACTGTAAAACTGAACTACAGTAATAAAACAAAAAAATTTAGTAAAATTACTACAAGATTTCCTTATGGGAATAACTTTCTAAGGAAAGCATTAGAAATTTTAAACTTTAAGAAATTTAAAGCCTGTTAAAAATATGAACAGTATTTTCTGAGACTAATTTTGCCAGGCTGAGAAGTTTGACAGTTTTGTTATATATATAGCCAGTACAAAACTCTTATGGATTAATCCATTTTCGAAGGAAATGTCATCACTGAATTAATCAGCAGCAATGAACTCTTTAGGGTAAGAAAAAATTAAACTTTTGAATCTTAGTTTATTTATGAAATAAGGATAACAATAATAATATCAAGACCCAAGTTTGTTTCAAATATCAAAAAGATTGTTTACAAAGTTTAACACTTCTCAAGCTTCAAACTACTATAAAAAGCCCAACAATTTCATTCCTAATTAAAATTTTAAAATGTTTATTCTGTATCAGCAAGATTCAATAATGTAAAACTAAGAAATTGGGCTTTCAGTATTCTTAGGAAGCTTGTTAATTTCAAAGCTAACCATTTTCTTTAAGTTTTGATTTAATGTGATTATTACTAGACTCTGTTAAATTATATTAAATTTAACTTTATAGTCTTTTAAGATGTAGTTATGTATTTTAAAGGGTGATTGACCACTTTAAAAATACTACATGAAGCAAAGGCTTACTTTATAAAGACTTGGGGGGATTTGTCCTAATATTGTAAGCAAAGATGTTTCCATCTTTATTTTTCTTTTCACACATATTACAATGTATTTTGCCTATCAACACTAGTGACCACATCAGTAAAGCTTAAGATTATCTGATTCTTTGTTCTAGTATCCATTTCTTCTTTCAAATCACGGAAGGAAGATTATCAAATTATCATTAAAAAAAGCATTTCTCTACAAAAGGAACACTGAGTCAGAGGCCTTTGGTTGGAATCTGGGCCATGAAAATTTTAGAGTTTTTATTTTTCCATTGAAAAAATGGGAAGGACACCTACTTCATGGATCTATTCTGAAAATTAGATACATTATTTTTGTAATACAATCTTGTCTAATTTATGTGATTAATAAAAACATAGTTTCAGAAGTTTTTCACCATCCTTAAATATAATTAAAACAGACAAGTCTTTCCTTAAATCTTTCACAAATAAATTACATATAGTATTGCCTTTGTTTTTCCTCCTAAAATAGGAATTTGTTTTTAAACTTACCAGAGTCTTTTTGTTTCTTTTCATTTAAAAACATATATTAATCGTTTCATATATATTCTTTTAAAATTCATTTCTATGGATTTTGTAGTTTTGTCTTACAGATCAAAAGATACAGGAGTTCTTTAACTACATTTCTGTAAAAGTAATGCATTTAATATGTTTCATGTTTTAATTTTCATGTGTACAGACTTTTTTATATGACAATTTTATATGTCTGAATACTGAAAAATTAACCTCTGATTTTAAGGGTTTTTGTCCTTCAGTTATCTCATGGTAACAGTAACTATAGTAGTAAAAAACAATTAATAGTGAATGGTAGACAGGATATCTACTTTCCCATTCTAGGCTTGCCACTGACAAGCTAAGCTATTATCCTGAGATTTTAGATATTTTATCTCAAATCAAGGAGTATGAGAAAATAATTTTTAAAGGTCCATACACTGATCATGAGAATTAGTTTTCCAAATTTCATGCATGTACAAAATTATAATAAACAGAGAAAAATCAGCTACATCCATATAAATAGACTAAAGAGAAAAAAATATACCTGCAATTTCTTCTAATGTGTTGGCATGCATATCCAGCAAAACAGTTCCATTCAGGATACAACTCCTCAACTCAAATAAGCTGTGCAGCGAAAGAGTAGCTACATAGGGCTTGCTCCACCTTTCTCCTCCATCTTCCACATCTTCTTCGAATTTCAACCACCTATACAAACAAATAGCATTATCAGCACATTGCATATTAAACTGTATGTAAAAGGGATCAATTATTCCAATTATTAAAGGTAGAATATGAAGGTATTCATTTTGTTTCTTGGTTTAATTAGTTTGCAAGTTTATAAAAGCTAGCCCAAGCTTATTTTTTTTAATTCTACTTCACAAGTATTCTTTTTGGAATTGAAATATTATTAAAATAAAAGAAAAACTCATGTTTGCTAATTCATGTAGCTCTGAATAAAACATCTTAATAAAAAATGTTTAGCCAGTGGTCACAGTGAATCTGTTGTAGAACAAGTAGATTATATTTCTTTGAGAAAAGATAATGGAAAAATAAAATGAATAAATACTCATTTTTCTTTAGTGGAACATTGTAAACCTGACTATTTTAACCTCTTGGTAATTTTCTCATAGATGTTTAAGGAGGGTAATATAATTTGAGGTTTATTCTATATATAACAAATAAAACCATTGTAAGTTTGTTTGGATGAAAGTTAGTGACAGTTGTCACTTTCCAGGGGCCAAATATATGACAATTAGTCTCAGATCCCATTCCCCAAGTTCTTGCCAAAAATGAAAAATAGACGGGAAGCCTTAATATGCTATCAGATGAGAGGCTATTGCCTTCTTGATGTGAAATGAATAGTAAGTAATACCTAGGATTTTTTTATAAGGAAAATTAATGGAAGGGATAAAAGGAAACCAGTAATTTCACTGCACTGGCACAAGTCACTCTCTCTGTCACTTTTTCAGAGATGTTCTCTCAAATCCTAATAGATGACTAATTTAATTATGTCATTTCTGAACAACCCTAGCTTAACTGTCTTTCTTTTCTCCCATTTTCCACCATTTCTCTTATTCTTTCCTCAGTCATTTTTGGCTCCATTTCTTCTCTGTAAACATTTTATTCAAATTCTCTATATGATATCAAACTAGTTTTAGGTGATCAAATTACCCAAATCTAGCAGATAATAAATATGTGGAACTAACTATAGTTAGGGAATCAGATAAGTCAGCTAAAATAACTAACCAAAAGAGTTTATCAAAATGATCAACTGAAGAGTAGCAAGAGATCAAGAAAGCTATAAATCTGTCCCTTGGGAACCAGCAGTTAGCATAATGGCTATGTCGCTGGACTCCCACGTAGTCGACCGCGGTTCGTGTCCCGGACCTGGTGGCTTAAAACTCACGCCGGGCACGTGTGCGTGCGTGCCCAAGATCCCGAGAGGAGAATGGAGGAGAAGGGATTGCGGCGTGACCATCCTCCCTGGGGGGTGATTTCTCGCTTTCTGTCTCTATGTCTCTCTCTGTCTGGCGAGCGCATGCGCCCTATAGTGAAAAACTTCTCTCAAAAAAAAAAAAAAAAAAAGAAAGCTATAAATCTGTCCCTAGAGTACAAAAAGAAAAACACAAAACAAACAAATAAACAAAAACAAACAACAAACAAAAAAAAAACTTTCCATAAAGTGAAATGGACACAAACGGGTAACAATAGCCATTCCTGGAAAAAAAAAAAAGGTTTACAAACAAGGAAAAATAGCTATGTCTATTAGAAAATACAGAAGTGGAAAGCTTTCATTTAAGTCCCAAATCACTGACAATACCTCCCATGTAACAATTTTTTAGAACATTTTTGTCTACACAGTTGAGAATGTTTCATATTAATGATTCTTATAGTGTTTCCATCCTTAACAAGACTATAATAACTCACAAATCATGTAATGATCATTAGTATTGATTATCAACTATATCTGGTTCTCCTATTTTTTTCTAATAAGAGTAGGAAACTATTCCCACCTGGCTCATTTTTAAGTTCATGACTTCTTGTTACTATCACTAGTTCTGGTCAATGAGTTGGGAACAGAAACGATGCATATGTCACTTCTTAATTGGAATATTTAATTGCTAAGATAAGACCCTCTAGAGTTCTCTTCCCTGACATGCCAATTAGCACTGTTCAAGATGGAAGTTGTTCTATCAGCCCGGAGAACTCTAGGGAACTACAATGGACAGATGTATAGTGCTTCCACTGATACACGACAGACATGCATTACATATACCTTTGTGGTTTTTAAGCCATTGAGATTATATGATATTTTCTTTTTCTTTTTTTTTTCGGAGAGGTTTTTGCTATAGGGTGCATGCACTTGCCAGACGGACAGAGAGAGACAGAGAGACAGAAAGCGAGAAATCACCCCCCCAGGGGGGATGGCCACGCCACAATCCCTTCTCCTCCATTCTCCTCTCAAGATCTTGGGCACGCACGCACACGCACCCGGCTTGAGTTTTAAGCTACCGGGTCCGGGACACGAACTGCGGTCGACTACATGGGAGTCCAGCGACATAGCCATTACACTAACTGCTCGTCCCAAGATTATATGATATTTTCTATGACATAAGTTAGCTTAACGCAACTTATAAAGATCACCATGTTAGCTGTTTATACCAGCATAAAAATTCTGATTAGAATTAATGGTAAAAGAATATATTATTGAGACCAGCAGTTAGTGTAATGGCTATGTCGCTGGACTCCCACGTAGTGGACTGCGGTTCGAGTCTCAGACCGGGTGGCTTAAACTCACACCGGGTGTGTATGCATGTGTGCCCAAGATCCCGAGAGGAGAATGGAGAAGAAGGGATTATGGTGTGGCCATCCCCACTGAGGGGGTGATTTCTCGCTTTCTGTCTCTCTCTCTCTCTCTGCCTGGCGAGCGCACGCATCCTATAGCAAAAACCTCTCCAAAAAAAAAATTTTTTTTTGAAAAAAGAATATATTATTTAAATCAATATAACAATTGAAATTTTTTGCTAGATATAAAGTAATGTCACAAAGTTTCAGCCTCTTAGCAGACATTTGAGATAGAATAGTACTGTAGCAAGTGCCTAGGAATAGTTAAAAATAAAAGGAAATTTAAGTTTTGTCTGTACTCTACAGCTAAACCAGCATGTAACCAAGGAAAAGTCTTTCAACTTTCCTGGGCCACAGTTTTCCCATCTGTAAAAAGAAAAGACAAATCTAGCACATTAAATAACTTGCCCAAGATCACCTAGACAGTGACATTGTCAAAATAGGAATCAAGTCCACATTTAAAATTTTTTCTCCAGTCTGTGCCCATTTCCAACCATAATACAATTACCTTGTTGAATTTATGATCCTTTTCAGTTCAAAGAACTTACACTAATGCCTATAGTAGAAACAACTGATTTAACATTTAATTTTCATCCTTATCTGGAACAAATCAGAAGATGAAAAACAGGTTCTTTGTTCTCTCTTTTTACATTATCCACATTTGTTGTCTTTATTACCTACTGTGCTAGATAAAAATACATTATTTTCACTTGTGAATAAGACACAAAAAAACTATTTGATATGTTCTGTAATGAAACTCTACAATGAAGTGGCACCAGGGGAGGGGATACAAACTTTATTACATCTTTTGTCCCTGTGGGTACCACTATTATATGATGCAGTTTTCAGACAAAAAGGGTTAAAGAAAGGGAGAGTATGTAACAGCACTTACACTAATGTTATTTTGACTGAAGAACCTTGTCACATTTGAAATTCTAGTTTCCAGTCTATCAGGTAGTAAAGATTTAGGTTATGAAAAGGTATAATAGTGTTTGGGAGAATACAGATTTTTTACTGTAGGAAAATGCCTTAATTAGAGTTTCTGGGCTACAGGACTTTCTGTCATTTTTGTACAGAGAATTGTTGGAACCAGCAGATGGCTTAATAGTTACATCACTGGACTTCCACATGGTCAACCAGAGTCTGTGTCCTGGACCTGGAGACTTGAAATTCATGCCAGGAACATGTGTGTGCATGCCCAAAATCTCAAAAGAAGAATGGAGAAGGGATTGTGCCATGGTCATCCCCCTAGTGAATGATTTATCCCTTTCTATCTGTCTCTCTGCCTCTCTCTCTGTCCCCAGTGAGCACACTTGCCCTATAGCAAATATCTCTCTAAAAGGAACAAAAAAAAAAAAAACTCTCTCTAAAAATAAAAAGCCTGATCTATATAAAATAATCAAATCCTTTATTATAAGGAAATCTGTAGTTAAATTTCACTGGTAGATAGCAATGAAGATGATTAAATAAGTGACAAAACATCTATGTCATTTCATCTCAGCTTCCTTGAAAGTAAAAATTTAAATTTTATATATGTATGTATGTATAAAGTTCTATGCTTTTTACCTCAGGTACAGATTAATGTAGCCTCTACCACAATTAAAATACAAAACTATTTCCATCATTACAAAAGAACTCCTTGGTGCTATACGTTTATATTCTCAACTCTCACTCTATTCCTATTCCCTGACAACCATTAATCTATTATTTATCGTAATAATTTTGCAATTTTGAATCTGTTACCTAAATGTAATCATATAGCTTGCAACATTTTAAGGTTGACTTTTGTTTCTCATTAAGCATAATGCCTTTGAGATCCATCCAAGCTATTGTATGTATCAACAGCTTATACGTTTTCATTGCTAAGTAATTTTCCATTCTTTGGATAGATATATCAGAATTTAACTATTTAGCCACTTGAGGACATTTGGATTATTCATAAAGTTTTGCTATTACAAATAAATCTGCCGTGGACATTCATGAAGTGGTTTTTGTATGAACATAAGTTTTCATTTCTCTGGGATAAATACCCAAAAGTGCAATTGCTAGATCACATAGTAAGTACAAGTTTATTTTTTGTTTGTTTGTTTGCTTGCTTTTTAATTTGTTTTCTTTTTATTTTTATCTTTTAGCTAGCTATAGGGCATGTGGGTTTGCTGGAGAGACAGAGAGAGAGAGAAAGAAAGAGGGAAAGTGAGAAATCGAACCCCTGGGGGAATGGCTACACCACAATCCCTTCTACTTCATTCTCCTCTCAGGATTTTTGAGCATGGACACACACATGTCTGGCATGTTTTTAGAGGCACCAGGTCTGGGACTCAAACTGCTCAGCCAGCCATGTGGCATCCAGCTAGCTGCCT